CTGTTGGGAGTTCTCTGTCCATCCTGTATGCGGGGTGGATTCGTGTTCCAAGTGTTTTGGAAGTTTTCCTGTATAATTTCATCAAGCACTGCTTGCATCCCAGATTCTCTTTCTACTCCCTCGGGGAGGCCGATGATCCGAATATTCAATTTTCTAAGGTAATCCTTCATCTCTTGCATCATTTTATTAGTTTTGCTGAGGTTTGTCTCTAGCTGTTTAATTCGCTGGGCACTTTCATTTTGTGTGTCTTCTGTTTCAGAGATCCTTTCCTCTGCCGCATTTATTCTGTTGATGAGGCTTTCAATTTTATTCTCTTGGGCATCCAGTTTGGTTTTGATTTGTTGTATTTCGGTGATTATGCGGTTCTGGTAGTCTTCCAGCTTTGTGTCCACGTCTCTGAGAAATTTTAGCATTATTTTCATCAATTCCTTTGCTGGTAACACGTCCATGTCTTCATCTCGCATCGCCGATATTGATAATGGCTTTTGGCCCATGTTTGGTGGGGTGCTGGCTCTTTCATCTGGAGCACAGCTCTTTCTAGTGGTTTTTCCCATTGCGTTGGTGTATTCTGGTAAGGCAAATGGACCCGTGTGTTGAGGGGCTGTCAGGTGCTTTCCTGTAGAGATTGGAGCCTGCAAGCGTGGTGTTGCCGGGCGTGGTAATTTTCAAGGCACCGTTGGTGCGTTCTCAGGGCCCGGGGCTGTAGAGCACCACCTTGGGGGCCCAGTGGATTCCAGGCACACTCTGGGCACCTCTTCTACAGGTGTGCCACCGCAGGGCGTGGAGGGATGGAGGCGCTCTCTGGGCGCGCCCCCTGCACGGGAATCCACAGGACGTAGAAGGTTTTATGTGCTTTCTCCCTGCGTTCTCCTTGTCAGGGACTGCAGGGTTTTTCAGAGCCCGCCTGGTGTGTCTCCCACACACAAGACTGTGGTTGAGGCACTTTCTGGGCGTGGCTCTTGTGCAGTGATTCCACCACTCGTGGTGTGTGTGTGGCTCCTCCTCACAGGACCGTAGAGGAGGTGTGACCCAGGCGCCTTGTTAAAATAACTTCTCAGCGGGATCGCACAGTGCCAGTGTGGCACAGGAGATTTCAGAGCTCTCCCGGTGTGTCGCCTACACTCAGGACTGCGGGGTGGGAGGCGAGGAATGGACAGTTCACACTATGGGAGTGGCATCTGCGTGTCAGGGACACACAGCGCTACACTTCCCAGTTCAGCACCCTCCTGACTCCTGCGCTACGGAGGCGGCTGCTGCAGGCGGGACCGCCTAGCCCAGCCCGGCGCGGCGCTCAGAGTCCTCCTGGTGCTGTCGCCCACCCACAGGGTTTCAGGGTGTCGGGGATTCCAGACTCCCACCAGCAGCCTCCGCGCGCTGAGATGCACTGGCCCACTTAGCGCAGGAAGATCTGAGGCGCTTTCCCGGGACCTTTTCAGCCACCAACACGCACCGCTGTTCCCAAGGCACAGACCTGACAGTTTCAGGTTGCGCCCCTTGTGTTCTCAGAGGCTGGAGCCTCAGCAGGGGGTGGGGAATGCGGAGGCTGCCACGTTAATCCCCAGCTCACCAAGGTCCGGCTGCTGCAGTCTGCTTCTGCTGTTGTTGAAGAATTCCGCCGGCGACGATCCCTCCGATTTCCCTGTCTCCAAGCTGGCCGCGTCTCCCGTCAGGCCGCTCTCAAAGGTGACTCAGCAGGTCTGGAGTGGGATGTCGGCTTCTCTACCTTTGCCCTGCTCCGTTCTCGTTGTTCTTCCGAGTTGTGTGGAACTTTTTGGCTCCACACTGTCCCAGGGAGTTTCACGGACCTCTCCCTACGGTTTCCTGCCGCTCCTCTTCGCTGCCTCTGCAGCACTCTAACCTTCTCTCACTGAACTCTCCCTCATAGCCTTTCTCCTACGTCGGCCATCTTCCCTTCTCTCAAGAATTGTTTTTAAAAACTATTTTCCTTATCTAGTTTTCAAATGATAGTTCCACAGAGGGATGAAAGTTTGTTTCTACCGCCACAGAAGTTAAAGAAGTTGTGGCAATAATACCTTTTCCTTTGGATACAACCTTTTGAACATCTGAACTACATAACATGCACAGGAAGCACTGAGTTCAGCTACACGACTTTCTGGCCTTACAAAAAGAAGGGGGCCTACACAGATACTTTCAGATATATTATCTGGAAGCGCAATGTGCCTGATTTTCAAGGCAAAGTGGAGTCATCAATGGTTATTTGTTTGGGAAATTCAGGAGCTTTAGAATTGGTCCTGGGAAATCACTGGGTCATACTACTCTTTGACAGGTTAATAACTTGGAGAAGCTCTTAAGTCTGAGGTTGGATATGTAATCAAAACTGGCCAAAATGTATTTGTTCTCCAAAACCTTGTTCCAAGGAGTGTGGTCTCAAGCCAGCAGCACCAGCAACAAGACCAGGGAGCCTATGAGAAATGCAAAAATCTCAGGGCCCACCAGAGAACTACTGAATCAATATCTGCATTTTTAACAAGAGCCCAGGTGATATGCATGCACTAAAAGTTGAGAAGAGGTACTCAAAAAAAGAAAACAATCACAGGTCGTTCAGCATTATAAGCAAACTATTCAAATCCAAAGAAGTGCACTATCTCTGATAACTTTAGAGTAATATTTCTGTGTGTGTCACTCGGTCTAAGCATTTTAACGAAATGAATCACTGAGGTTCCTTATTTCACTGAAAATAAGGCAGATGGGATAAAGCATAAAGCATCCAGCTTAGGACCCTTGGAACAAAAGGGGAGGAAGCAGAAATATATTCAATATATTCTTACTGATATGGTCTTTTTAACACTTGACTCCTTGACAGAAACTAATGCTAGCAAGAAGTTTGACTTCTATGAAGCTGAAATAAAACCACTCTAAGAGAGGGTTCCATAGTGCAATGCTTAACACTCTGGACTCTGAAATAAAACCACTCCTCTCCACTGATAGAATGTTGAATGAATATTTAAAACCTATATGTGGGGTTTTTTTTGCTTTTGTTTTTGCAAAATAGCCTTTTTCCAGAACCCTTTGAAAATCCTTCATACTACAGAAGTCATTTGAAAGGCAGCTTGAGAAACACTGGAAGGTAAAGAAACATGATCAGTCTCGTCTCTTGGTGTGTTTCTATTCTGCAATGACATACCTGAATTGTTTACAGCAGGGCAAGACTATAACTGTGACTTGGCATTGCTTTAGCAAAGTCTAACCATGCGTTTGTTTCTGGAGTTGGGAGGAAGAGAGTGGTGGTGGAGAGGATGGTACTAGGAGGCTCCTCTGTAAATGTAAGTCAGAGCCACATCCATAAGAACTGCAGCTCCCATACAGCCCAGATATTTTTGGAAAACAGACATCAAGACCTTATAGAAAAAAGAATGAAAGTGGCTTTCTTGCCAACTATTAAAGCCATAGAAGACATCAGACAACCTGCTTAATGTATATTAAGGTCATAAACATTGAGGGAACCTAATAGCCTTAATGTTTTTCTTTGAGAAGGGGGAATTAAAATCATTTCCACATGTAGAATGTGGAGCATATCACTGGGGAAGGCATACTTCTCTTACGATGCTGCAGAGATCTACATTACAAGAACAGAAATTTGATGCTCATTGTTCTACCAAGGGAGAGTGCATTGCAGGGACAAGAATGTGGATCCAGGAGAGGAATGAGGAGGCATTTTTGTAAAAAGAAAGAGTAGCAGGGAAAGGAAGAAAAGAATTAAACACAACTAGGATGGACAGTGGATTTTAATGACAAAAATCCTAAAGAAAAAAGTTCAGGAGTTTAAAAGATTTCATTACATCTTACAGTGAAGACACTCTGGGATGAGGATGAGATAAGCATGATTTAGGGATATATAAATTAGTTTGATATTAAAAATTTTTTAAAGTTCCAGCACATTTTATTTTTCAAACACTATAAATGGTAGTTTATACACTAAGAACACTTGGGAAAGAATAATGTCATTAAAATAATTAAGTTTAAAACCTTAATAGCAAAGATGGATAACCACTCACACAAACATTTATAATAGAAAATTGTGGGAACTAGCCTGAATGCTTAAGAAATAGTATGATGGAACACTAGTAGCCAATATACAATTTGCCTATTACTAAAGGATTATACTAAAAAGATTTCTTCCAGGCAATTGTCACAAAAATAGCTGATCCAGGTTCCATGAAACATCATACCTCAAGGAAATACAGACACAGATACACCATATGCACATCTGTGCAAAAAACCCAGCAAAAAAAAGTAAAACTACATATAACAGAAAGAAGTGTTATTAACTGATCATCAGAAACTTAGACATGGTCAAGATCTGTCATCTGATCTAAGGAAAAGAAGAAAAGACACAAACCATATCATAGCCAAAATCTCTGACTAGGATAAGGTGTAGGAAGAATGAACATTAGATGTGGTACTGAAACAAGAGCATACAGATCCCATCAGAGACTTCCCTAAGCAACAGATGGCCCCCCACCAGCGTCATCTCTGCCTCACCCCAGCACAATGGCTACAGCATGGGTTTTCCTACTTGTCCATTTCTACCCAACAATAGAAAAAAACAAAATGACCCAAACTTTAATTCTATGCTTAGGATCATCATTACCCTATTCAATGCCATCTGTGCTCCCACTCAAAAAGACATTACAAAGTGCTACATTTCCACTTCAAGCCAATGAGGATTAAAAATAGATACTATTGACATTCAAGAACGACACTTGCATTTCCCCACATCTGTACATATGCACTTGTCAAAGCCTAATTATTTTATATACTCTGCCCTATTACCCACATGTTCTTTTGATGAGCAAGATGGCCATAAGACAAGTGTTAAATAAAGTGAATACTTAGTTTAAAACGATTACAGAGAACATATGGAATCCCCTAAAAACTACCCAGTCTTCATATCAACCAATTAATAGGGTAGCATACAGCTTACTTTAAATTCACAGCTAATATGTCATTTAAAACACATCATAAATTTTTCGGTTTACCTTTGATGTCCCTTTAGTAGAAAAATATAAACCAGATCTTCTTAACAGGAAGTAAACCTTTTTCCAGGACTTCTTTCCCTGTTCTTTTGCATGTAAGAAGCCATGGATTTCAGGATATGTGCTTGAACTCAGAAACATCTAGAAAAAAATCCAACCCTTATCATATCAGTGAGACAGTGATACCATAGCTTTAAACTAATCATGTTACAATTTCAAGTATAAATGTGTAAGATCAAATAGCATCCACAATATTACAGAAATCATAATGTATATACAATCAGAAGTATAGCTTTAGGGGGCAAATGCAGCGGCATATCAGGTTAACTTTCCATCTGTGGTGCCAGCATCCTACATGAGCATCTGTTTTAGTCCTGGCTATTCAACTTCTCATCCAGCTCCCTGCTTATGGGGTGGAAAGGGAGTGAAGACCTTGCTTCCACATGGGAGACTTGGAAGTTCCTGGCTATTGGCTTTGGATGTGTCCAGCTCTGGCACAGGTGGCCACTTGTAAAATGAATCAGTAGATGGAAGCTCTCTATTTCTGGCTTTCCTTCTCTCTCTCTGTAATTCTAAACTTCAAGTAAAGGAAATAAATCTTTAAAAAAAATACGTCTTTCAAAAACTCAAAGCAGGTTGCAAAAGAAAACATGTACATAAAATGTACATTCCTAGCAATCAATACTGAAGCAACCATCAAAAGTATAATCTATTCTAATATCCATACAAAATTTGGTAACATCTAAGTGTTACAATGTACTGGTGCTTTTCAATCTTTTTTGTGGCTTCCTCTCTGAATATAGGCTTACTTTACAATCTCACTATGGTAAAAGAAAGACTGCAATCCAAACTTGGATTGTTAAACAGGAAATTAAGGCAAGTTCACCTCCTTGATGAGAGTTAATACTCTTGTTCATCTTCTATGGTTTCCCTGTGATATTGAGCAGAGCAGCTTTTGTTTACTAAAGAGAACTAAAACAGTACATCCAGTCTACCTGCTCTTGCACAAAGTAATCTTGATCCTGAATCATGGCATGCTTGAGTTTGGGCAAGCCTGGCACTGCTTTGACCAACACATACGCTAGAAGTGAAGCTTTGTGAGTTCTGGATGTAGCACTTCTTCATCCTAACGGCTTCCAAGGATGATTCTTGGAAGTTTGCTCTCACATAAAAGAAATGTGGCTACCCTGAGTCCACCTTGGGTGAGCAGCAACTGGAGAAGGTACTCTGTAATGAGACACCATATGAGAAAAAGAGGGGCTCAGGACCACTGAGGCACACTTAGAGAAAAAGCTATCTCAGAACAGTGCCCAGCCACTGACGCAACAGGAGTCAGAGACGACTCACCCAGCTAATAATTTTCTAAAATTCCTGCCCCACAGAATTAGTCACAGCATGTAAATGGGCACCTAAAGCCCATAAGGTTTGAAATCCTTTTTCCTATAGGAATAATTGAGACAGTGAGCTTGTGATGGTCAAAAACACAAGAATGAAAAGGCTAGGACGCAGTCTAGAGTGGGTGTGCTTGGTGCCTGGAATCAGGCAATGGGGATGCATTAGTGTCTCACCGAAAGAAACAGGAAAGCATACGAATAAACAAATGCAAAATGGAAAAACCAAATGAGAAAATTATTAACTAAAACAACGCAACGTACTTTAAAAGGCTACTCCAGGAAATGCTGATAGTAGATATTTACATTTTTTAAAGTAAATTATTACATTTTTTAAATTTAATGAGCCATGGATATTAATTAATTGACATGCAAAACAGGCAAGTAGGTTTTCTAGTTTGAGTGCTTTCCAAGTTATTAAACCAAACCAATTAAATTTTAAAAAGAGAGTCACAGAGGTCACACGAGAAAAAGAAGAAACCTTTTAAAAAGTGGAAACATCGCCTCAGTGGGGAGAAGAGGCTAAGGGCACACGCAGGGCTGGCTGCTTCCAAAGCCTACCATTTCTCTTGTTTTTATAATTTAACATTAAAGCAATATAACCATGTTATAGGAAGATCTGGGAAAGGAGGCAGAAAAGAAAAAAGAATATTCCAAACCACTCCAGTGTATTAATAAAGTGAGAGGCATCCTGACTAAATCTGGGGTCTGGGGATACAGTTGCTGCTGTCATTCACCCCAGATTCTGAAAACTCTGCTCTGGGACTAATCACTTTTCTAAAAATAGTCTGAATAGTGACAATTAAATACAGTCTATTCAAAAGCTCACGGAAAGCAAATCTGCAAAAGACAAACCCATTTAACATAGTCATAGATATGTAAGAAATATTGAAATTTGCTTGTATTAAAGATTAGAGATTACTGAGCAGGACAAGGGGTGGGGGATTGCTCAAGTAGCAGCATTCTAAAGACACTGTTGAATATCAACCTGTGAAGAAAAAAATTCAGAGCTTATGATATAAAATCTGTGCATCAGAATAAAAAAAAATCCCGACATGTTATAATGACTGTGTGTTATAAAATGACTATCTCAAGCCACTCACTAACCACTTGGAAGAAATGAGCTCAACAGACATAAAGCTAGGGATTTTTTTAGCAGAAAAACTAATCTCAATTCAGCTCCTAGTTTTATACAATTATATGCACGAATTTTAGAGCATTAAACAGGTAATAGTGTAGAAATATACTCAATCAATTTTTCCCTATAATGCCTAATATTTTCAACATTAAGAACTGCAGATGTTAATTATGAAAGACAATAGTAAATACATTTTTAAAGGTTTATTTTATTTTTATTGGAAATCCAGATATACAGAGAGGAGGAGACAAAGAGGAAGATCTTTTGTCTGCTGATTCAATCTCCAAGCAGCCGCAATGGCCCAGAGCTATGCTGATCCAAAGCCAGGAGCCTGGAGCCTCTTCAGGGTCTCCCAGGTGGCACAGGTTCCCCCAGGTGCTATAGGTTCCCCCAGGTGGTACAGGTTCCCAAGGCTTTGGGCCACAAGCAAAGAGATGGATTGAAGTAGGGCCACTGGGATTAGAACCGGTATACATATGGGATCCCAGTGCATGCAAGACAAGGAATTTGGCCAACAGGCTACTGCACCTATTTGCAGTTTACAGGAGAGTTAAAAAAAATTGTTAAGAATACTAACATCTTTATACACAGTACAGGATAAAACACTGCAATATGCTTTTCATGAAGCATTCTATGTTTAAAATCTCTCGACAACTGACCAGAATTAGGAAAAGGAATATTGATCCGGCTTTACGAATCTAGAGCAATTTTTACCCAGGTAATTTTCCTATATTAAAATGTAGTCATTCAAGGTATTAAATTTCAAAGTCTGGGCAGGCATCCATATGTTCCTCATACATGCCTTATATTATGTTATTTCTTACGTATTTAACATTACCTGCAAAATCTGTGTGGGGGAAATTTCACCATTGGTTTCAGTTGCAAAAGACACCATATGTTCTGGAAAAAAATACTGACAAAAAGATACAGGTTAAATTATCCCTAAACTCACTTCAGCAAAGAGTCAGTATGATCAATCACCTTTAAGCTGCTCTAAAATTCATTCAAAGTGCTTTTGAAAAGCCTATCCCACGACTCTAACCTCTGGCATCTTCATGATGATGCCTGGAATTGAGCCCAAATGTTATCAAGTATACCCCCAGATGATGCTGATGCAGGGAGTTACAAACCACTGCAGTAGTATGGACAATGTGCTGAGACCCACCTCACTCACATCCTGACACCATTAGACCATTTCCTAAATCAGGCTAACCTCAGGCTCATTAAACAGCAGAAGGTATGCAATGATCACAGCCCACCAACGCAGGAATGAATAATCAATACTGGCCTGGAGAGCTTCAAGTCCCAATTATAAAGCTCATCCAAACCAATTGTTTAAAATCAGTAAGTCTTGGTCCTCATTCCAGAGGTTTTTTTCATTCAGTAGTTCTGGGTAGATAGATCCTGGATTTTGTGTTTTTAACAGGCACTGGGACAGCCGTTGGAAGTTTTATGACCAGATAAGTTTGGGGAAAATCTTTTCTAACATACTTCCTTGAGGACACAGATTCTCAATAACTTTCAATGAACTTTGCTATGAATAAGTTTTGGTCTAAAACTTCTGTGTTTTGTTCATTAGAGCATGGCTGCTAGCATTCCTATCTTCTTTCCACCAAGCTGCCTAGGTTGTGACAACACAAACATCCCCAACCCTCAGTGAAAAAACATTGTTTGGTGTCTATAAAACAAATTTCTGACATTGTTTGATTAAAAAATAAAACCAAAAGTTTGCTATGAAGATATTTCTTAAATGTAATCTTTAAGCTCTTGTTTTTAATAGACTTACAAGAAGATGCTTTCCCTTTAAATCATAACTCTATTTAATTTTTATAAGAACTCCCATTTTCTTTGTCAAAGATTATCCCATTATGTTTCTATTTATAGGTTAAAATAAAAGAGAGCCTAAGAGGTCTGTCAGGGTTTGAAAATATTCTATTATGGTACATATTATATATTTTTTCATAAAGCATCATTTCAATCCAATTATTCAAAACTAAGTGTAAAAATATACTACAGTTGCAGAGACAAAAACAATTTAAAATAATGAGCCCAAAGGCAATTCTGACTCCTCAAGATTCCTAGTCTTCATTAGAATGTGACATATGTTTATTTTCTTTTAAAGAGAACTATAATGAAAGCAGTATTTACTTGATAAAGCACTGGTCTTTATCTTATTTCCACTTAGCTTGGGGATTATTGCTCTGAAAACAAAATAATTTGAAAGAGCAAGATCTATGTCAATCTCGAATTCCAGGCTAAATTAAATAGTCCAATCATCCAACCCTTACTTTATAAGGGTTTTCATCTAAATTTCCTAAATTCTATCAAAAGTGTTAAGCTATAATATTTTAGAATCCTTCTGAAAATCTGTAATAATCAGTTTCTCAAACATGCATTTTTTTCTAAAAACACAAGAGAAAAAAGCAATGGTTCCCCAAAACCAGTTTGTATGTATGTTTGTTTGTTTTTTGCATTCATTCTAAAATGAATCAAATTTGTGTGAATTCAGACTTAATCAGTTTGACTAAGAAACAGTTCCTGAGTTTATGCTTTATTGTCTGGTTATTGCTAGAACAGGGAGAAATGTCACCATAATTTTAAAGAAACCAGAATCATTACCCACAATTTACCAAATAGGATGATTTCATGTATTGTGACTTCTGTTTACATAAAATTTCACCAATTCATGTATTTTTTCCATAACGTTTCATGAAAATTTAACTTACCATTGGGTTTTTAAAGAATTCATATTTGGCATAATTTTTTCTAAAGAACAACTTATTGTCTTCGTCCATTCCCCAGTTAGATAGCACTTCGGTCACTAGTTCATGGTCTTCTATTATTCTTTCTGAAAACCATAGTGAGAATTTTGACAGATATAAAATCATACACAAAAGACTTCAGAAAGTTCATGGCAAAATGGAAATAAAGACAATGTTCGTTTTTTTTTAAGACAATGCTAACTTTTCTTAAACTTTTAAAATTTCATTCATTCATATATCACATCTACATATATTCCCATACAAAATACAAAATATGTTTTGTCTTTAGTCAACATGAAAACTCAATTAAATCCTGAAATAGCCAATGCTGAATCAGTAATGCTGAGCTTATTACCAAGTAGATTCTTACCTGAAAGTACAAATACATTAAAATGTCACAATGAACTTTTTGCCAATTCTTGATCTCATTTGGTTACTCTCTAAATTATCATTTAAGTTTGACAACAAGCCTGCAGTAAATATATGGGAAGTAGTTTTTTCCTTAACTCATCATGGTGTCAAAATTAAAATATTCGTTTCAAGGTTGAATGATTCACCTCATTAAGAGATGGAGAATATTGACAGGTTCAATCTGCATTTTAAATGTATACCTTGGATCCTTTAAAAAGGATGAACGCTTTACAAGGAAAACTTTAGCAAAGGCAGAAACAGTTTGGGAAGGAACACAATTCCTCTTACATTTCATATTTCTAAAATTAATATTAAGGAAAATAGGTAGGATGAAGGGCACTTAAATGAAGTAAGCAAGGGTAGCTCTAAAGCAGTAAAAATAACATGAAAAATTTCAATTTAAATAAGAAATTGTGATAATGTTCATAGCAGTACTATTAATAATAAATCTAAACTGGAAATTACCTTAGTACTTCTAGACACAGAAATGAATAAATGACATAAAAGCACACATTGGAATATACACTACCATGACCTATAACAGTATGCATGAATTTCACAAGTGCAATGTTAAAGGAAAAGTCAGACACAAATAGTACATATTGTGTGAATCCTCTTACCTAACATTCAAAACAGAGAAACTGCACCTTCATAGAAACATTGGGTAAGTAGCAAGATGAAAGGGATTTCTAGAGTAATGGTAACACTGCAGTTTTTAAACTGGGTGTTGGATATTTAGCATAGGCAATATTTGAGAATTCACTAAGTTGTCCACATATGTTTTGCTCAAGTTTTGCTGTATAAAATGTCATATTTCAGTAACACATAAAAAAAATTGTAAAATTATCAATGCACAAGAAGAAATGGGAAATAACCAAAAAAGGAATATGGAAATTTTCTGCATTTTTAGTGTGTCTAGGACCTCTCAAAAAAGTATCTGTGTCTCAGAAATTCAACACTTGCTAATGATCTGTGACCTTCAACCCCCAAACCCTTGAAAGTAATGCCACACTTTAAAAGAAGCTTATTCATCTGGAAGGAAGTTCTTGTAAGAGTGCTCAATGAATATGGATGAGTGTGAGTTCAGAGTGCACCAACACTTGGGTTCTGTTCCTAAGTCTGATCACTCCTTTTCTGTCTCATTGACTGGCTCCCCTCACTCCTCTCTTAAGACTCAGTCCTTGGCTCAACTGCTTCCATCCCCTTTGTCTTAACCACTTCAACCTCTTCAGTCGCCACATCTGTTGAAATGCTGGTGTAAATCATTTAGCTAACATTTCTTTCACTCCTGGATCATTGCTAAGAGATTCTCTGGTTGCTCAGTTTGTCTAAAATCAATGTTAGAATGGAAATTCTTCAAAATAGTAAAACAGAGAATTCCCATGACACAGTCAGTCTCATTTCTCAGTATATACTCCAAAGAAGTGACAGCCAAGATTGGGTGAAATACCTGCAAACCTATGCTCACAGCAGTATTATTCACAGCAGGAAAACCTGGAAGCAACACAACCATCAATATTGAATGAATAAACAAAATACATTCACACAATGGAGAATGCAGGCTTAAAATGGAAATTCTTTCATGTGCTTCAATACGGATAAATCTTAAAGTTGACGTGTAAGTAAATACGGCAGATACAAATGGCAAATACTGAATGACTCCATTTAGTTGAGGTAATTACAATCATTTAATGAATAGAGGCAATGAAGGAGAAAACAGTAGTTGAGGATAAAGAGAAACAGGAGTTATTGTTTAAGGGGCACAGAATGTCAGTTTGGAAGACAAAGTTCTAGCAACAACCGGTGACTGTGATATAGCGATGTAAACAATGTCACTGAATAGCACCCTTAAAAATAGATGAAATGGTAGGTTTTATGTTATGTACATTTACCAAAATGAATAAATAAATAAATAAAAGAACTTTAAACATAACAAGGCCATTTCATTTTTTTCTCAAACTGTTTTTTCCATTAAATTTTCTGAACTCTATGTCTCTTAATGTTATTTTCAGCACGCCCTTTTAAACAACATAGAGTTAAGACTACTGCATTTTCTCCATTTCTGATTCCTGTCACCTCAAGGTATCAGACATTCTCCTTTCCAAGGTCTCTCAACCAGCGCACAACCCCATTCCCTAATTTCCTGTTTCAGTTGACAATTTCACTTTTTCTTCTATAGCCTCTAATGAGTTTGACTCATACCCTCAAATATAAGAATACCAAAAGATCAAAACTCTTGAAGTTTACAATCCCTCAAGTCCAAAATCCTGAAAATTTATTCCAGCATAAATAATTGTTAAAGTCTTTAAAAGATCTTGTTCACATCTCTAAAGAAAGATTAATTTGAGAAACATAAAAATATGACAGAACACTTCATAGCCACTTTATCCAACAAAACCTACAAAAATATATATTTTAGCAGGTATAAAACTCAGGTACAATAATTACAGGTGAGCCATATTCATTAAGAAATTGAGCAAAAAGTGAATTGTACAAATGTGTTATTATTAGTTATGTGCCTCCAGCTTTCTAAACCAGATGATGGAACATCAAAGCCTTGTGAAAGTACTGATGAAAAGTGAGGATACATAAGCATCATACCTCATGTGCATGTATGTACACATGAACTTAATGTATGCAACTGTCCAAAACCCAAATCCTTAAATATCATTTCCTTAATAAACAAAGTTTCACTTTTCAATGCACATACAGAATACTCACCCATGAAATCAATATTGTGAAAGTGATCAGGCATTTTCACAGTTAAATTTATAAAAGGCGCATGAAACCAATTAAAACTTTCTAAAGACCAAAAAAAAATGTATCCCTCTAGTATTAATCAGAATACAGAGATGAATGCACAGTACAGGGAAATGCAAAGAACAATGCTACCAGCCACCCAGGAAACACTCAACAGATACATTCAAAATGACTGTTACAAGGTTTCTGGGAGTTTTGTTCCAGCTAACATGATGCAGCTACTTGCAAATAACTAAAAACTCACCAATTCCTCCCAGAAATGATCTTTAAATCTCTGTTCTGCAACCTGCTTTAATAAGAATGTGGCTTTCAGGATTTCAACATTCAATATTGTAGCCTCTGAGGATTGTGACTTTTATGAGTTTTAACTTTTACAGATATTTAATTGCTTGACCGCACAATATTCAGGATTAGCTAGCTTTTGTCCCTGTGGTGGACTGTACCTAAGGGGATTAATAAAGGAAGTGTAGCAGAAATTAATATGCTTATAGGTAGAAACAGAGAGAAGTATGGCCCCAATGCATGCATCACAAGGATGGAATTAGTGAGTGAAGTGGCTGCTAATTTCCTACTTTGTTGGAAGACACCTCAGTGGGAGCAAGATGGACTTGTGAAATTCTCCAAAGACACCTATTGTAAGACTGGAGGGAAGGAAAACTGGGGAGGGGAGGGGAATTGGGGAGGAGAAAGGGAGACCCCAGTGCCTACGAAACTGTGTCATAAAGCAATAAAAATAATAAAAAAAAAAAAGAAAGAAAAAGGCTCTAAGGTTTGGAACTCATTAAGATCATTTAGTAAGTTATTTAAATTAACTGGGGGATGTGGGGTTGAGATAACATAGTTTAGAGGCTTCATAGCAAAAACATTAAGAGTGGCAGGAGTTTCCAGAAAATTAAAAAAAAAAAGTTTGGCAAGAGTTAAATAAAAACCTCTCTTTTGACTTACATTTCCCAACAGGATGTTGAGGGTCTGACTGTAGGTCTAAATTCTCACCTAGGAATAGTATGCCTATATGAAACTCACAGATAGAAACTGAAATGATTAATTACCTCAACTAAGAACAATCCAAGGCACAAATAATAGGAGATTAAAACATTTGCAATACAAAAGACAGGAGACTCAAAGCAAAGAAATGCATTCAAGTTACAGTTACCTCTGCATGTCTCAATCCCAAGGCTATCTTATTCTTTTACTAAATTTGGGTAATATCGGGAATAGGCTGAATAACAGCCCTCAAGTTACAAGAGCCCCATCTCTGGAATCTTTAATTGTAATATTATATGACAAAGTCTTCACAGATAACTTTTTTAAAAAATATATTCAATAATTTGAAATTTGTATTGCTGAGAGGTAAGTCTTCAATCCAATGTTTTCCCAAGTGGCTGTAACAGCCAGGGGTGGGTCAGATCAAAGTAAGAGCAAGGCACTTCCTTCACATCTCCCACATGGGTAGCATGGGCGCAAACATTTACCACTGCTTTTCCTAGGAGCAGAAGAGGAACATCAAGGACACGGACCAGAGCCCACCTGGAATGCCAGCAACTCATTCAGTGGATTTACACACTACGCCACAATGCCCGAACCCAAATCAAGGCTGCTGAAGCAAGGAAATTTTCCTGGGTTAACCAGGTGGTTCCTAAATCCAACCACAAGCATTCTTTTTTTTTAAATTTTTATTATATAGTTCCACAGGCTCAGGGATTTTTCCTTCTACTGTCCCTTTCTCCTCCCTACCTTCCACTGTTTTCCCCTATTTTATTACAATAGTATAGTCCTTCAACAAAAGGCACAACTCCAACACTTTGCTACTTATGCATTCTTATAAGAGTGAGGAAGAAACAGATTTGATACAGACAAAAGAGTAAACAGCAATGAGATCCTGGAGGCCAGAATTCAAGTTGGGCAACCACAAGCT